TCCCTACCAGAACCAGGTTAGATTTAGTAACATCAAGGAGTATTTGCGACCCTAAAAAATCGCTCCAAATGAAGATAAAAAGCCCAATAAAAGGCCGGAAGAAAATATTCGCTATGAGTTTTTCCTGCTTATATAAGAGAACCTTATCAAAGTAAAAATAGCACGCCTGCAGCCACAGCACACCTCGCCTTCTTGCAAATATTTTGGCAAACAGTATACGGCAAATCCATTGCTTCCGAAACGTTTTCACGGAAAGAATGTCATCTGATGTCCCCTGAGTTCACTAGCGCAGGAACAAATGCATTTTCCAGTTTTCTGCATAACGATGTTCCATAACATTTCAAAGTCCGCGTTTATGGGACACTTTTATAACTTATTTCCCTAACATAAACCCAAGGGTGTTTACATTATAAATTTGAAATGCCCTTCATTGGCTTTTATATCCCGCTAAGTGAACATAACCAGAGTTAATATATTTTGTGGCTAAGGAAAAAAGATAAATTGTAAATTCATCGTCAGATCAAAAACGCTTGGCCCTTTTCAAATTGCTAGCAGCTTTAAGAAAAACTAAGCCTTTTCGAGGATTGAAATTGGAATAACAGGAAGAATTTCAAGCTTCATTATTTATTCATTCCTACCTCCGAGCAGGTAGCAGGTTGTCGAGTTAATAATTGTCTGAAAATATCAAAATAGTTTATAACGATTTTTGGAAGGGCTTAAACTGGCAGTAAAAGCTATTATGCAAGTACAAGATAATTTGGTTTAATTAACTAAGTTTACAGATCATGGGTTCAGATCCCGTACAGGCCTGAATTTTTTTCAGGCCTTACCTTCACTACTGCTCTAGTAGTGTACATTACAGCGAAGATCACTTTCATTCATGAGTTTACAGTGTAAATTGGTCACCGTATGGTTAGTTCTTTTTCATCTTACGCTCTGACGAAGAACTTCCGCTCGTAACATCAGTTTAATAAACTCTCGGGTCAGAGGATTACGATTGTGTCACGATACAATTTACCAAATAGTTTCCCCCCTTTATACGCTGTTGGCCACAACTACTCTCCCACTGTTGTTTCGCTTGAAAATCCTGTGATCCCTCCACAAAACTTTTCACCCTCCTTCCTCAGGGGGAGGGAAGGGGGAAGTGGATTGAGAATGGTCCCTAAGGAGGAGAGGGTATAATAATTGCATGATTGAGAAGGTTTAACAGCTCCCCAGTTTCTTTTTAAACCAACCCCTTTTGTTCATTTATTCATTGCTTTTGGCACATACAGTTGGCATTTATTATTTCATGTTCTTCCTGAAAGAAAATTACCATTAAGGTACAGTTTGCCAATCAAATTAAAGATTAAATCGAAAGAAAAGATTGTAAACTACATTACAGAAATCACTTATACTTTTACTTTGTTTCAAAAAAAATTAGTTCTTGCACCTCTCTTTGTTCAAAAATTTTCTTCAAAAATCTTTGAAACACCTGCTTTTATTACGTTTGTCGCACCACCGCATTTACATTTAACAAAATTGCTCTTGAAATATAACACATTGAGTAGAAAATGTTATAGGGCCAAAAATTTCTCGAGACTGCAAATATCTTGGACTGTTTGAGTCACTTAAAAGGCAATTATAGCAAACGTTTGAAGTAAGTCAAGGTATGTTCTTTTATCATTACGACTTGAGTTCGCACGAAACTTGAATAACTGAGGGCAATGTTCTTCGTCGTATTCATTCATTCTCAACCATAACTTCTCAAAGCAAAGACAAAAAAAACTGACTAATGACATTTTTCGCCCCAAAAGAAACGGAAAAAAATTCATTCCTACTGTGTGGAGGAGAGAAGGTCAGGCCTCCTTAAACTCTGAATTCCACACGGTCTTAATTTTTAAATGGCGAAATGATTGTGAGGTAAGTCTGTGCATCCTGGGATTTCGCAACGCAGATCGTTCCATGGAAACTAAAACAGGGCGTATATTTTTATTGAAGAACACCAGCTTCTTCACATTTTGGGAAGAACTTTCCTAAAGAAACTTGTTAATGCTTTCATTCTTTTCTAAGGAATTTCCTAAAGAATTGTCATTTTAAAGTTAGTACAACGAGGAAGACAAATATTATCCACTTGTCATGATTGAGTGAATTCATAATTTTATACAGTTGAAAATTAGCTGAAAATGGCTTGAGCCAGTATGCATCTCATACTCTTTTATCTTTTATTCAAGAGAAAACAATTTAAAATGAAAATATTACAGCTTGGCGGAAAGCTGCTAGTTTTGTGTGAAGTATTATGCTGGTTAACGCCGTGACTAAATTTCATTATGTAAATAAAAAAAAACAGAAAAACAAAAAACAAAAAACAATGGTATCATTCTATTTCTACTGAGGTTTTGATAAGAACACTCCAAAACCTGTTTTAGAGCTTTATTTCTCAATAGCTCATTATGAAAATAGTTTAGAACCCCAGAAAAATTAATTGTGGGAACATGGTGAACTTAGCAAGCCCTTTGCTCAACTTTAGTCAAGCACAGACCTTTTCAAAATGAGTTCAAGTCCTTTGATAAAGTCCTTATTAGTTATTTCTATATTTTCGTGTAATTGCCAAACTGCGATGAACGGAGTACAGTATAAATAATGAAGGACATTTTGTTGTGTTTCTCATTGTTCTATTTTCAATTCTAGCATGAGCACAACACAGCGGGAAGTTTCTAGCAATTTGATATGGAGAAATTTTTCCGATTTGCCACAATGAATGTTTATCAACGTGTCATAATCGCTTCCCACAACGCTTTTAGTAGCAATGAACCTAGTTCGAATTGCATACGCTTTTCATAAAAGTCATCAATGATTCATAACGGGAAAGGAATTGAGGTTTATTCACGATTAATTCGGCATATATTTCGCGTCAATATTGCCTAAATTTTGACTTAAAAAATAGTTATACAATTGCATTTGACGCAAAATGAGGTCATTTTCGTTTTATTTCCGGCTTGAGGACTCATTCTACTGCTAGATGACATTTAGTAAAAAGGGGATATCTGTTTCATGCTTTCCTCATCTGCCCCGAAACGAAATTAATTTCAGCTTCATTTACAAAGCGGAGTTTAGAGTCCAATCGAAAGAGATTCGTTCAATTAAGAAAGTAAACATCGTAAAAGTTGGAAGTTGTGAAGGAAAATCAAACACGGATACTACAAACTCATAGGGTAAGCAAATGTGTCAGAGGTAGCGAAAACTATAAAGAGTTGACGTCTGAAGAAATTGGAGTTTGATTGAAACGGAGTCGAACATTGCTATCTAAAAATTACCAGTTATACGATATTTGATATTATCGAAAACATTTTGGGATAACCGGCGAAACCAATTGGGTCATTTCTCGGTTCATCCAGTAAGAAAAAACTTGAGGAACCGACTCTCCTAACGCTACTGATTCTCGAAGGGTAAGTCAGAATTACACCAAAAATGCTTCGAGATAGGACACAAGTGTGCATTGTGGAATGATTTGGATATCGGACAATCACTGTGAGGATATTTTCCCAGGCAGAATGTTTCGAAAACAAAGAAATCCTCAATGTTCCATGGTATTCCAAGAAGGCAAAAAAGCAAAAGAATGTTGAAAACTTTTTATTAATGAAAAAAATTGCCAAAATTTTCAATGAAGTACAGATTTTACATTTTGTTGAAATACTCAAGTTTTTCCATAAATAACCATAAATATTCATTCGACGTAACGTTCGATTCCTCACGGAGACATAAAATGTTTTCCTCTTTATCCAACGTTTGTAACGAAATGAAAAGATCACCTTTCTTACTGAAATTTACTATCTCTTGCGTTCCGTTAACCCATATGAGACTATTGACATTACTGATCCTTGCAGCATGCAGGATATGTGCAAAATATGAACGTAGAGAACAACTAGCTTCCCGCAGATTCTCTGTGGCTCTGTGGCTCTGTGGCTCTGTGGCTGTAGACGCCGTGAGTACGTTATTGTCTTTGTTCGGGTTTTTGGCACGTTCCTTGGTCCAGTGCTTCTATTGTTTCAATTTTAGGCTCTTTTCCATTTTGAATATAATTTGGCTCAGTGGTGGGAGTTAAAACCTCCGATCTGTTGAAGGGTACTCAAGTTTAACAAGTTCGGCTTCGGTTGAAGACTGGTTTGGAGCAGCGTGATTCAGTCACAACCTTTTTTTAACGCTTTGATCGCTTCACTTCACTTTGCACCGTTTTCTAATCAAGTTTTCAATCAAATTTAAGAAAGAAAAAACTGATTAGACCTGATAGGAGAAAAAAGGGCCCTAAATTTTAATCTTCAGACCTTAAAATAAAACTATCAACTGTCAAAATCGCAAATTGAAATCAACCGCCAACTGTCAAGCCACACCCCCCCCCCTTCATTGAACATTGAGATCCTCACAGTACTATTGTGCGTAAGTATAACAAACAACAATCGACGATTATCAACAAAGTTAGGAAATGACGACGATGTTCAAACGATATCTTATATAAAGAAGCTAATACTTTCATAGTCCTCATACATCGCTAAGCACTTTGCGAATTTTCCGTTACCCTGAGCGACACATTGCAGCACATTAACGGTGTAACGTTTTCGCTTCATCCTTACGTTGCAGCTTAAGCCGGCGTTTTCTCTAAAACTATGTCAAAAACATTTCTCATTTAAGTCAAATATATCGTTCGTTTCCAGTAGCCCTCGATCCCCTCTTAAACCCAACGTTTAAGCAGGCCCTCATCATTCACCTTTACGCACGAGCGTGTCTTCGCCAGCGGGAAAGTATGCGGTCTTTAGCAACGCGAGTCAGCAAGAGGTCTGAAACGGGTCTGGTTGCTGACTCTCGGCAACTTCTCCCAATTCGTTTCAAATCTTTACGGGGAAGGAGAGACGCGGTTCTTGCATTGCTAATGTTAAGAGCCGCCTGTCACGCTATGCATGAGCGCTTTAACTGATTTATTTGTTTATTTATTTATTTATAGAGTACAAGTCTATCCAGGTCAGATGTTTTCGGTACTGTATATTTTCTACTTTTCATCTTTGATTCCTCTGTGCATGGCCATTAGTCTGCAATGTGAACCCGCTGAGCAGTCAGAGGGTGGAAAGGCTCTGAAAGGTCACATCTCTAAATCAAAAAGGGTACAAGATCCGTACGAGTGTCTGATGTTCTGCTACAGCGAACTCACATGTCAGAGCTACAATTACGTCAAAACTGGTAAACTTTGCGAGCTTAATAACAGAATCAAAGAGGCAAGACCTGAAGATTTAGTCCGAGATGAAACTGGATTCTACGTGCGACGATGGAAGAACAGAGGTACGGACAATAACATAGTCTTTAAAATCACTATTATATAAAAGATTCGTGAAAACTGAATACTTTTCACAGCTGAAAACATCAAGTTCCTTTAGTCCTTGGACAATCACACCTGGTTAGTATCGTTAAGCCAAAATTTTCAGCAATTTGATAAATTTTTCAACCTTGCATATGACGGTAACACATGTTCAGCTACTTTTGAGGAGGAGAGGTTGTGTCGGAGAGGTGTGAGATAAACAGACAGATAGAGAGAAAGAGAAGACTTGTTTAAAGCTCATTTATAAATGCTAGGTGTTTTGTACACTATTAAAATGTCATCGTATTACAATGTGACTGATTCCGTCAGCGTTGTCCTGGGACCGGGTTGAAGCTCGGATATATTCCCTATACAATTCACATATCACTTGTGTAGTTCATCAGATCAAATCAAAGCCTCGCAATAATTGAAGTGGGAATGGGGCGGGGGTGGGGTTGGGGAATGAGTCTCCTCTGTTCGAGTCTAAGCCTTACAGGAACAAGAAATTAATGTGGTTGGCTCCCGGTATTTCTCAAGATGTTACCTTCCGAGCATGCATATTTTAAACTTTCAAAGAAACTTAGCACATCAGATGTAATATAATAGCATTCAAGAAATTATTTAATTCCTTACAGTATCTTGCGATTTAATATGGCCACATTGGAATATTCCTTGCTGAAATGATGTTAGGTTGGTAATTGAACATGACAATACCACACAATCAAGGAGGTAATTGTTATCAAACGAAAAGCATTTTACTGTTCCTTTCCCAAAGTCTCTTTAGGCTCCGCTCCCGAGATGCCTGCCGAGTCTTGTGGTGAGATCAAAGCCAGCGAACAAGGGATGGCGGTCAGCGGTAGATATTGGCTAGAGCCCCAGGAGACAAAAAAGAAATCAAGAACTTTCTGGTAACTTAATTATTATTCTTCATTTCTGAACAATTCAAGAAAAAAAATAGATTTTTATCGTTAAAAAATAAGAATGTTTGGAATTCATAATTCCTTTCTTATGGACAGTTCACGTAAAAACAAGTTTGGATCATAAAATGCAAGTTTGCATGGAATTCTTTATTTGATAGCAGGTTTATTGTGACATAGTATCAGATGATGAGGCCTGGACTCTCCTCGCTCGGTTTTCAAACAGTGACACTAAATACTGGATGGATGACTCAGGAGACTGGTGGTATGACAGTGCTCAAGCTGCAGGAGAAACCACTGACCCGTCACACAACCCAGACATGATATCACCAGCGTTCTGGCTGGTCAGTGGCAGAGAGCTTAAGATCACGCGCAATGATGACTCTGGAGACACTCCTCTATTGCAAACCACAGGGAAATGTCTGAGTGGGAAGACATTCCGCTCCAAAATTACTAGCTATGGCAACTTCAGAAACGGTTCAGTCTGGTCTAAGGGTGAGTGCCTTGGAAAATGCAAAGTTAAACATGGAGGACAATACCTGACAACTGAGGGCTTCGGACAGGCTTCTTGCAATGGCGACCTGCAAGGTGCTGATGAGGCCGGCTTCTGGTGTAACAAGGGCTGGAGTGGTTATGTGATCATGATTGGAGGAGGTGGAACTGGTTTTTCAGGTGCCGATCACGGAATTGGGACAACGGTGGCGAAACTTGCCTCTTTTAAAATCAAAGAAGATAACAGAAGAGAATCTGACTTTAGTAACGACGCATGGGGTTCAATAACTAAAAGTTACTCGTTGAATTGTGGATTCGTTAAAGCATGCATCCTTTTTAAACTCGTGACGCGTGAAATGATGTTTAAAATGCTGTTTGAAGCGTGAATTTTTCCAAACTTTGCGCATGAAACGTGATCAGAACTTCGTTTTGCTTTGTTTTGTTTTCCAGATGCATGAATACAAACTTAAAATGATTTTGTGTTTATTCAACAAAGTGAAAGTGTAAGCAGTTTTATAAAAGGTTTCATTCATTGTTGTGCATCTAGTTTTAAAGAAGAACGAACGTGTACATAGTTATAATAGAACCTGCTTTGATGTTGATTGATCAATGTGTGCAGCTTCAGGCATCTAGATCTCTGGGATCATTTTCAGGACGTTAACCTTGAGTAATTGTTGGCTTGGTTTTTAACTGGCTGTCGTCACCCTCCATAAATAAAGTTGACACACACATACATAATGACAAATAAATCTTATTTCCAAGTAACAGAAGAAATGTGATCAGGTGGCAGCCAAACGCATGCGCAAAAAACACCTAGTCGACAAGAATTAAAATGGCTTACGCAGGGAGACAATATCTTTCCATGTTTATTTTAAAAATTTGGAAGCCCTCTCCTTCCAATTGAGTATTCTTCTGCAAGTTTGCCCCTCAGATGGAGAGGATGAAACGAAAAGAAAGAAAAACCAGCTACAGTACGGTAGATCATTCTATGTTAAGGCCCGACCATAGACTTCATTTTGAATTGTGTTCATTACTTCATGTGATAAGGCAAAAAATTCTGACCTTTGTGCTCATCCCTATATATTCGATCAGCAGACAATAGCGAGAATTTAGGAACAGAAGCAAACCTAGTAGGGGAGACAGGGTTTTAATTCAAAAAGTAATTGTCTCAGAATAGAGTGGGTGAGAGAGTTTTCTTTCCATACCTAAACCTCGTAGTTTGACTGACCTCATACCATGAGGTAAAAAGGTAGCTTAATTAAAAAAAACAAACAAACAAAATAAATCATAATTTTGAGTATAATTTAGAAAAACTGAGTGATAGTAGCATAATATGCTACTTTTACTGGCACAATCCATGAGGTCCCACTGGTGTTAGCTTGTACCTCAGTTTTTCATTGTATCTTGGGGTTAGTAGTCACTAACTACTAATCTCTAAAAAGAGATGATGTTGTCGAGCGTTTAGAAATGAAGGGGGAGGGAAGGAAGCCGTCTTGGCATATGAAAGACTAAACTATCAGCCGTTTTCTTTCCTTAGTTTTCTGACTCTTTAACGTTTGGCGATGAACACAATTAACATCCCATGAAGCCTGTGATTGAACTAAACGAAGACATTATAATATTTTTGACTTGGGGAGTTTTAATAAAGAAATGTATCGCTACAATTGATCATGAATGAACATTTCACCGTATCAGTCCCTCTGGGGACGATACTGATCTACGAATTTGACTTCATCTGTCTGATGAGTAAATGGTTATGTATTTCTATCCGAAGAGATAAACTGATGGGATACTCAAAACTTGCTTCCGGCGTGTAAATATTAAGTCGTATAAGATAACCATCGTTGAACGAGATTCAGTATGAGGAGCCATTTGTGCCAAAAATATCAATCGCTAGAGATAAAACTCAGTAGTTAGTGCTAAAATATCAATCGCTTGAGATAAACTCAACCGTTAGTGCTAGCAACAAATCATAACTGTAGATCAATTTAGTTTCCGTTCTAAAATGGTCAGTCGTTCGTGCTGAACCTTAATCGCTTGTGTTTTGCACCAAACGCCATTGTAAAATCGCTAATTATAAATTGCTGGTGTTCCGAGGCAGTTCGATAGCGCCAGATATCAATCCTATGTTTAAATGTCAATTGATATTGTAAAACTTTTATGACTTGTGCAATTTTCAAATTCAGCAATCATAAGGATGACAATCGTCTGTGATGCCACCGATCGTTTGTGAAAATTAGAAATCGCTATCGCAAAACCTTAATCTTTAGTGCTAGTATAGATTTGTTATCGATTCTAACTTGAAACAGTGTTTTTAATAAATAATTATTGCCGGAAAAGTTATTGTAAATCTAAAATACAATTAAAAATTCTTATTGGATCAACGTCTCCACAAATAATCTATTGAAAACCCAAAAATAATTTGCGATCCAATACTCTTTGTGAAATTCAGAAATATGTTTGAAATCGCGAAAAATGACCAAGGTGATCGTGTCCTATTGATGCCTTGAGATGGACAGCGAGACGGCATCCTCAAACACATTCATCTATTAACTACAGGCTCACCAGTCATGCAGTATGGGATTTATATAAAAAATTACTATGCAACATATTTTTCTGGGTGTAAAAACATTTTTGGGTCTCCCTTGTCGGCTTACTACTTCCTGGCTCGATGGGCATCCACGCTTCTGGAATTTCTATTCCACTATCCCTGTTGATGTTGCTAGGGTGAAGTCTTATGTGAATTGCCTCTTTGACCCTACGCGTGTAGTAACAAGGGTCACGATCAATAAACTTTCGTAATCTGCGACTTGGAAACAGCGCGTACGCCTTATTGTAGGCAACGGCGAAGCTGTTCCCACAGACTTTTGACATAAGCTGAAACCGCAGTAGCCTCAAACTCGATGGAGGGTTTGGCACTGTTGTTTGATTTTCCGGTCCTGGTAAGTTTCTGCAAGAACTTTTCAAACACCTTCATAAGGTGTTACTTTTCAATACCAGCAAGTCTTTAAGGGACTGTTAAATATCAACAAACAGGTTCCAACGGAAGCTGTAATTTAAGTGTTCGGTAATGTTGTGTTCCTTGTCGATACCGGTATCGATCGAGCTCTGCGAGATCGAACTCATAGACGCCGGACTTGAGATATCTGCCTTTGTTTGTTAGCTGCAAACACCATTCCCGACAACAATCAACATGCGCGAGGACCGTCTCAAATTGTAGGGATGCAATCGGCGGCAACTTGAACACGTCTCCCGCTGATCTTACAAATATTACCCATTCCCACTTTATCATTTTCATAAAGACTAAACTCGAGCACATGGAAAATGGCGACGTCTGCTCCAAACAGTGCTATGAGAAGATTGCTAGAGTTAGTTGGTGTTGGAAATGGCCTTATTCAGAACTTTGAAGAGCAGGACATTACCGCAGAAATAGTTCCTATCCTATCTAATGCACGACTGATTCAACTTGGCTTAACAACGATAGCAACTACCGGTAGTTCGTTCTATTTGCCGAAATAGCAGCACGAGAAATGGGGAGCCAGCACTTTTAGTTTGAGTTTTTGTCAATAAATGCAACCTCGGCAGATGGCTTCCTCTGTAAGTTATGGGAAGCCATTTGTGCCAAAAATATTAATCACAATTGATAAAACCCTATCGGTAGTGCTAAAATGTCAATCGCTAGCGATAAAACTTAAAAAAGGGAATAGTGAGTGAGACAATTGTGATAAGTGACCGTTTTGCTGCCAAATTAGCTTTATCGCGGAGCTTATTCTTGTGAAATAAAAAATCCACGTCCAACATGTAAAAACAGACGAATTTAAAAATCATAAGCTTTTAAGAACAAAAACTTAATTGCATGAGATGGAAATTACATGCCAAATAAAAGTATAAAGGAATTAAAAATTTAGTGAAATGAGAGACAATGACTATATTATTTTGGTTGGGAAAGTCTTAGAGTATTATGTATCAGCTATAATATAGCTAAAGATCAATTTTTTTAAGTCTAAATACTATTGTCGCTATCATTGTTACCAATATTATCACTATCACTACTGCAAAACTCTTGCCATACCGTTCCCTGTATGTATCGCGTTTGGGTTTTAATTACCTGTGAGTTTTTGTATGTTTCATTGGCTGCGTTGTGTGCTTGAAGTTGATGTTCACATCGTTGTGTATTGTTACTTAATTTCCGTCGAGTAATTTGTAATTTTTTTTGTAGAAATTTAGTCTTGTAGATCGATACTTGTGTCCCCTCTTTAGAAGCAGCCTCTTCGTTTTTAAATGCTTCTAAAAAAGATTTCGTTATTTTGAGGTTATTTATAAGTTTTTTTCTCTTTTTTGTATTTTTCCGGCTCATGTCTCGTGCCGTAGGTGTGTGGAGATTTTAAATAAATGATGAGCACAAATACGCGTGACTTCGAGTTTAATCATCCCAACTGTGTCAATTACAAATCGCACGAATATGTCGTGTGGTTACTAAGTGGTCTAATTTGTGGTTTAATTGACAGTTTCATGTCCAAACTGTCCGACTTTACCGGTCTGGTTACAAACACTTGTAATCTGTCAGGCCAATTGGGACAGTTGAGCTGCCGATGAAAATTAAGCACTTTGCACGATCAACTACCCAGAGAACGCTAACCGATCAAAACGAAGAAACGCTCTTCGT